ACTACGTTGAAGGATCCACTCATTGTTTTTACGAATGTGCTTTGTAATAAATTCCAAGAGGAAACACGAACATCTCCAGTGATTCATACAGATATGCAGTATGAAATTTTGGCCGACCTCTGCCTTCTAGTCAGATCTGACCTGCAGCACTGAACAGTATGTATTACAAGCAGGTCCTGTGAGAAATTATTAGTGGCCGGCTTTCAAAGGAAAAAAGTTCATTGATGAACTGAGTGAAGGTGGGTAACCTATGATTATCCTCTAGACCGGTGTGGAATTCCTGGTTCAAAACAGCTGTCAGATACAAAGATGTTTTGTTATGGTGTATGAAAAAGACCAAGAATAACAAACAAATCAACATTTTTGAGTAGGAACTGAAATGATTTTGGCACTCAGGAAGTTTAAAACATTTTGTTCTGGAGTCAGTTAAGAAAACATCTCAAGATGGATCATACAGTTCAGTGTAGTATGTAGAGATTGTCAGAGATAATTAAGCTTTGGAGTAGCTGCGAGATCACAGAGGTTGCAGCAATGACTGGGCCTGCCTTGAATAGCGGGCCAGTCATGCAAATTGTATGTTTGTAATGCTCTCCATGCCGGACAATGTGTTGTTGGTTGTATAGCCACTGATGTTACAGCAGGGCTTCTGCAAGGGGTTGAGTGTCCTCAAGGTGAAAGATTGCAAATGGGTGCTGTGAGAAGCAGGAAAAGCACATCTGATTTATCTTTACAAAAGAATGTTAATCAAGAGAAAATAACCAATAAACATATAATAACATATGCCCTTTTTTGTGTTTCTCTGTTTTAAAGTGTACCTGCTCTGGGTTTGAGTAGTTTTGGAATAGGAGAGTTTGTCATTGGACTGTTCGTTTCTGAATTTTTACTTTTTAGCTTCAGCAAGGCTAGTATAAAATTTTAAGTGGTTAATTTACTTTAAAAAGGTTAGTTTATGGTTAAACTTGAGGTCATAGGTTTTATGCTCAAAATTAAAAGTTAGTGGTTAAGTGTTACAAGAGTATAAATTAGGTCTACCCTCTTCTTCAGCTTGTTTCCAAGGCTTCGGAGAAGCTTTGGACCTGTTGCTACATTCGGGAATTCTTGGTAAAAGTTAACAGTTTTGTCTCTTTGGTAGTGGGACTTCATAACATTTCCCACGCTACAAAAAAATGCTTATTGGGTGTCATTGGGGATCTACTACTATCTAACTATGCTGAGGAGCTATGCACATTCTCTATTTCTATGCAAATTGATCCATTTGATGTGAAAGGGACCTTGGTCTCTCTACATAGATGCTTGGAAACATTTTATAAAATGTTGGGACCCTGGGTTGCATCTGCTCATACACTTGCCCTTCTGCAACAAGAACAATTATGATTAATAGGAAAAGCTTACAGTTCTTGTGTGTTTTCAGGAGCTGAACAATTTATAGTAGTTGTATTACTACTGCAATTATACATAACAGCTTCCTGCCAGTGGTTGTTAAGGATTCCAGCGGGACAGACACGTCACCAGTCCCATTCAATTACATGGTTGGGAATTCCCAGCCATATAAGCATAGAATCCAGATAATAAAAAATAAAAATACATGGGGTTCTTCCTTAATTTATACCAGACTCCTTAGGTCTAGTATACATTAAAAGGGGAACCCCATGCAAAAAAAAGTGTGAAGATACCCCCATATTCTATAACAGACCCTTCAGGTCTGGTATGGATTTTATAAGGGAAACCCATGCAGAAATTAATAAAAAAAAAATGATGAGGTCCCCCAAAAATCCATACCAGACCTTTATCCATGTATGCAGCCTTCCAGGGCAGGAGAGAGTGGGGAAGAGCGTACACCCCCTGCCTCCTGAACCTTGTCCTTATCAAGGTGGACAAAACGTGCTTTGCCAGGGGCATCGCCCTGTTGCAATGTACTCTCTCCACACTGAGGATTCTCCCCCCCCCCATCTTTCCTGGCCTGCTTGGATAAAGGTCTGTAGGGATTTTTTGGAGGACCCCTAGCTTTTTTTCTTCATTTTTGCATAGGGTCCCCCTTAAAATGCATACCAGACCCTAAAGGTCTGGGGGGGGGGGGGCACCAGGCATTTTATATTGTGTAGGGGTCCCACATTAACATCTATATGAAGCTGACAGTTCCTGAAGTGTCTCCTGAGTAAACCACAGCAAGTACTGGTTACTCCGGCTGGCTGACCTCCATGTCACTCATGTATCCTGTAATTGGTAGTTTTAAGCATGAGCACAACTAATTGGCTTTTTTACATTGCCTTTTTTTTACTCTCAGTTCAAGCACTGCTGTACAGGAGGACTGGAAATGAGATGTAATTACCTACACTGCTTGCATAAAAAAAATAGAAAAATAGAATACAGAGTACAGAATACAGATCTGCATCAATGTGTTTCTTTTATATCTGCCTGGAGTTTACTTTTAAATCTATTTTAATATTGGGTTAAAAATATGAAATTGTGCTCAGATCTTAATCATTCTGACAGTTTATGAGGGCATGCAGTAATTTCAAGGCATTTTATCAGAATCTCTACATATCTCTGGTACACAATGTACATGTCAACTTATACAGTCCACAACTACACCTGGCAGACAGCCAGAGTTGGGACAAGTTATTTACAAGCTACTAATATAGAGCACAAGAAGTCACAGTTCAAATATTTCTATACAGAGTAAATGAGGGGATTCAGTAACATTGTCCAATAGAGGAAAGATGTAATTTATTATTTTAAATTAAATCTATAGTTTTTCAATGCATATTTCTTCTTTATTATATCCAGTACAAAAGATATATATATTTTTAAATGTCTTTTTTAGTTGGATGAATTAAAAAAAATGTATAACAATATTCTTTTCTTTCAACATGCAGTAAGCAGCTTGAACGCTGTGCGAATTCTGTCCTCTGTGAATATCTTCCTTACAGAGTGCGTAGGAGTGAGTGAGGAAAATGTAATGTACAGCCCAATGTACTGAGTGCAGTGATCAGCAGAATGTAATGTACAGCCCAGCTACTGTGTGCAGTGGTCAGGAGAATGCAATGTACAGCCCAGCTGTGTGCAGTGGTCAGGAGGATGTCATGTACAGCCCAGCTACTGTGTGCAGTGGTCAGCAGAATGTAATGTACAGCCCAGCTGCTGTGTGCAGTGGTCAGGAGAATGTAATGTACAGCCCAGCGTACTGATTGCAGTGTTCAGGAGAATGTAATGTACAGCCCAGCGTACTGACTGCAGTGGTCAGGAGAATGTCATCTACAACCCAGCTACTGTGTGCAGTAGTTAGGAGAATGCAATGTACAGCTCAGCTACTGTGTGCAGTGGTCAGAAGAATGTAATGTGCAGCCCAGTGTACTGATTGCAGTGGTCAGGAGAATGTCATGTACAGCACAAGATACAGAACTGAGTGCAGTAGTCAAGTGTAAGATTCATGCATGTAATTTCTTAGGTATTTAACATTTAACTGTAAAAGGCATGTCGCATGCAGCACAATGTACAGAGTATGGGTAGTCATGAGTTAGTAATGTACACAGTATGCTATATAATCCTAGCCACTGCATTCTGTATGTTGTGCTGTACATTGGATAGTGACATAGTTGGAAAGATTTAATAAAGACACCAGTCCATCCAGTTCAGCCTGTGTGGGTGTGCATGTTTATGCCAATACCATTTCCCATATCCCTGTATATTGCATTTGCTAAGATGCCCGTTTAAGAAGTAAACCTCCTCCTCCCAAAAAAAAAAAATCTTCCCTTCTCCCCATCCAAAAATCCCTCATACCCTTAGAAAATATATTTTCCTAAAAGCAAACCCCTTCTCTAACCATCATCCGCTGCTCACCTCTGTACCCTCTCCACCCCTAGTCCATACTTACCTCTGCAGTGCAGCCCTTGTCCACCACTGCTCACCTCTTTCACTTCCTCCATCCCTTGTCCACCACTCACCTCCTCCTTCCTCGTCCACCATTGCTTATCTCTGCACTGTATGTACCCCTTCTCTAACATTGCTTACTTTTTCGCCCTATGCATTGCTCTTCCAAATCTAAACCCCTGTACCCCTACTCTACCACTGTACCCCAGCACCTTTCTCCTTCACTACATCCACCCAGCACCCCTCTTTAACCATTGCACCTCCACCTGCCTTTTCCACCATTGCATTCACACAGCACCTCTCTTCCACCACCGCACCTTCTCACCTTCTCTCTTCCATCACTATACCTCCAGCAATCCTACTCAACCACTGCACCCTAGCACCCATTTTCCACTACTGTACCCTCATTCCACTACTGAACTTCCAACACCTATGTTCCACTACTTTAACCCTCCACCTCCCAACACTGCTCAGTTGTGGCATCATGACCTTGGGCACCCAACCGAAATGCAATGTCTCGGCAAATACAATAAATAGTTAAAGCAGATCTCACCATTCCCCCCCCCCCCACACACACACACACACACACACATGCACTTTTTTTTTCCACTGGTCCGCTGAGATTCTCTTGTATTCTGCCACTTCTTGGTCCGGCGCCACCATGTTGATTGTGCCATCATCAAGAGGCCCACTGGCTCTTGCTGGTGGCTCTAAGCACACCTCCTTCCTCCTTTTGGAATGAAGCACTATACCTCCTGGGATATGTAAAGTGTATATCCCAGGAAGCAAAAGGAAGAAATGCGGTGCACATCATTCGCCTAGGCAAAAAGTAAACGAAAAAAACAAACATAAATAAAGAATGCCTTATTCAGGTAGTGGAGGGTGGAATAGTGGATAGAAGGGAAGTATTTCCTGAAGGTAAGGATCCACTTAAAGCAGGGGTCTCCAAACTTTCTAAACAAAGGGCCGATTTACTGTCCTTCAGACTTTAGGAAGGCTGGAGTGGCCAGTGGGAGTAGAAAATGTCCCAGCGTCAGTAGGATTAAAAAAAATTACATTGTGCTTGTAGTCAGTGGCAGGGAATAGGAGGAATAGTGTCCAGTCATTGGTATTAGTTGGAGGAACAGTGCCCCATCATTGGTATTAGTGGAAGGAATAGTGTCCAATCATTGGTTTCAGTAGGAAGAATAGTGCCCCATCATTGGTGTAAGTGGGAGGAATAGTGTCCCATCATTGGTATTAGTGGAAGGAATAGTGCCCCATCTTTGGTATAAGTGGAAGGAATATTGTCCAATCATTGGTGGCAGTAGGAGGAATAGTGCCCCATCATTGGTGTCAGTGGGAGGAATAGTGCCAAACCATTGGTGTCAGGGGGAGGAATAGTGCCCCATCATTGGTGTCAGGGGGAGGAATAGTGCCCCATCATTGGTATCAGTGGGATGAATAGTACCCCATCATTGGTATCAGAGGAAGGAATAGTGCCCCATCATTGGTGTCAGAGTAAGGAATAGTGCCCCATCCTTGGGTACTATTCCTCCAACTAATACCAAGGGTGGGGCACTATTCCTCCAACTAATACCAATTGTTTTATATCAGTGGGAGGAGTTGTGCCCCATCATTGGTATCAGTGGAAGGAAAAATACCCCATAGTTGATGCCAGTGGAAGAAATGGTGCCTCCTTGTTGGTGTCAGTGGGAGGAATAGTACCCCGAGGGACGGAGAGAGGCAGGAAAAGGGCTGCATGCAGCCCACGGGTTGCAGTTTGGAGACCACTGACTTAAAAGATTAGATGAGACTTTAGTGATGAAGTTTATATATACTCTGAAAACAATGATATGAAATTCCAGTTTATAAATAATAAATAACTGCTGAAACACCGTTTCTTCACAATATGGTGGTCCAAGATCCCTCTGCTTCCAGTCACTTGATCAAATGCTGGTCCATTTATCTCTCCTAAAGGGGCCCATTCAATTTAAAACCAATAAGTTGGGGGGAAACGTCATAATATGAAAAACATTTAGAGAGATGGGCTAACCCATTCTCAACATTTCCAAAACAGAAAGGGATAGACAGTTAGCAATGTGTTGTGATTTTAGTGTACCCCTGCTTTAATTTACCATTTTCGCAAGAGTGTACCTTTTTATGTGGTGTAGGTCCACATATTGAGTAAATGACTCCAAAGTCTACCAAGCACAAATAGGACCGTATTACAGAATTACATTCCTGTGTTTGGACAAAACTGAGTTCCAGCCATCCTAATTGTTTGAAGGAGTGAGAAGTTCTGTCATACTGTGAACAAATGACTGTGGTGTGATAAGACAGCCTCTTGGAGTCCATTAACAAGTGCCCGATAAGATTAGGATACTAATTGAGACAGATAAGCATTTTATTTCATCATTTATGTGTTAAGTGTTTTTCCATTAGCTGCTACAGATAAATATTCAGTAATTGGCAAATGATGACCATGGGTAGTCATTGCCTGTGTGTAACAAAAACACAATATTGATATTCTGACAGTTGCTTTAAAAACAAATAGAGGTAAATGGAAGAAGCACCATATAATCTATATAAGTTACATACTTAAAGCAGAACTTCAACCAAGAGGGGAATTTCGCTTGTATGCCCCCCTTCTTAAATTTTAGGCACTTTATACTTTTTTTTGGGGGGGGGGGGCAGGCACCTGGTGTTGACAAGTAGCCACTCCTACTCCCGGCCAGATCGCTGTAGTGATCGTAGCAGAAGTTTGCCACCCCCCTCTCTTCCAGAAACCTTCTGGAAATTATAGGCACTTTATTTTATTTATTTTTTTTGGGGGGGGGGCAGGTACCTGTTTTTTTAATGTACCCTGTCCTACTTCTACTGTTTTTCCCATTAGCTGCTATAGAGAAATGTTCAGGTATTGGCAAATGATGACCATGGGTAGTCAATGCCTGTGTGTAACAAAAGCAGCAATATTGATAGTCTGACTGTTGCTTTAAAAAAAACTAGGCAAATGTAAAAACCACCATATAGCCTATACTGTATAAGTTACATTCTTAAGGGAAGTTCTTCTTGTCTGCCTTCCCCCCTTTAATTGTAGGCACTTTATACTTATTTATATTTGGGGGGGGGGGGGTACCTGGTTTGGGCAGTTAGCCGGTGATACTTCCGGTCAAATCTCCCACAGCCTTCTGGGACATATCACTGGACCCAGAAGGTTGCAAGATGAATCACAAAGTGCAGTGTGGTTCATGCATGCGCACTGGGAAACCAGCTGTGAAGCTCCAAGCAGTGACAGCTGGCATCCTAAAGCAAACATGTCGGGCCAGGGACCCGAAGAGCCCACTCAGATCCTTGGACATGTAAGTGTCCTATCATTAAAAGTCAGCAGCTACATTATTTGTAGCTGCTGACTTTACATTTTTTATAGGGTGAAGAATCACTTTAAAGTGCACCTGAACTAAAAAAGTGAAGGTTTCTGTGTTGTACAGAACATCAGAAATGTTAATCTTGTCCAAGCAGTCCAATAAATAAAGTACTTCTGTCATGAATTAATTACTGATAAATAGCAATGCGTGGTATGAGAATGAGCCTAGGCATAGTGCAGACAATCTAGTAGGGTGAAGCCTAGTAGTGAACCTGAACTTTGTAAAGAACCACACGACAAGGACGACACTGGTTTTATGCTGCAGAAGACAACAAGGCACAGTAGACAGATATAACAGTAGCACTATATATGCTGGGAAGTGCACAGTTTACTGGTGGGCAGAAGAACAGTTGGGCAGAAGACAATGCTTAGCAGTGTTGTACATCCCACTTACAATTTGGAAGGGGGTTGGAGGGGTTGTGATAGTGCTGAAAAACACTGTGTTCCACTAGATCTCTGCAGTATATGGCAGCCATTGGAAATCTGCTTTAGAACATTATACAGTTATGATATCCTGTAAAGTTAACCTACATGTCCATGCTCATCCAGAACGTCTCCCTACTGCTGTATCTATCCTTTCCCTACTCAGCAGAGCTCTCTCCCTACCTTACTGCCTCACTACAGGTGCACTGAATGATGTAGGCCCCCTATATTTATGTCACTACTGCTGCTTACTGTTATCCTTGCTGGAGGCTCCAGCATGAGGAAGAAAAGCCCTGTCTCTACGAAGATTGTCACCTCTACCTAGGCATACAAGTAAATCCTGTGAAAAAGATCGGCAGCAGGGGAGATTGTATACAGCTCCGGTTAATCCTGGGATAACTGGGATTCTATAGCTAATTTTAGTTTAGGGCTTAATAACCAGCATAGACTAGTCATGATGGTCACTCTTGGAGGTTCGGTTACTTGACAAATTAGAAACTGCTAAAAACTAAGATACAGAGTAAGTAGGCTGATTCCGAGTTCCAGCGCCACAACATGGTTTCAGCTGGTGAGAATCTGTGTTCCAGGCTGTTTGGACAATGATCTGGTCTTCACAACTCTGACACAAGGACAGACACCGCATCCTGATCATCCTGAGGGGCCCCTACAACTGAACTGTGCTGCAACATTCATCTGGAGGTATAAACTGTACCTGAGTATATGTGCACAATTCCACCAGGACTCTTGTTGGGCTCTTTGCTGATAATACCTGTTTGTACATTGTATTTATGTTCTATTAATCTTTTCCTATATAAAGTGTATTATTTCCATACTGATGTGCATCTATATACTTGTGGTTAATATTATATGCTGGTTGCAGTAGTTCCTCTTATCACAATTTACTTTGATTAGATTAGTAATTAATTTCCCAGGAAGGGAATCCCCTCTGTTCACAGAGGAACTTTCCTGGGTGGAGGCACTGCCAACTTTATTATCAAACCCACTCTTCCACTTAGCGAAGGTTTTGGTTCTCTTATTTACCTACAGGTTTAGCACAATATCCTGTTCGGGAATGGTTATTTGTCATAAGCGCCCCCCCCCCCCCTTACACTAGATTTCTTGGGGTCCAATAACAGAGCAACAATGTTCAAGTTTCTGACACTGGGAAGAAGAAAGCTCACAAAATATGATTTTTCTTTTCAAGGTACAGCAACATTGAGAGACACTTATAGAACCTATGACTGGCCTTCCTAAATAAGACATTTTGCAGTGACCATTACTCGCTGGAAAATACTTTCTTTTTTACAGGAGTTACTCATTAAATCTATTCCCTGTCTCACACCACGTCCTTCCATGGACATGTTAAACTAGACTTCATGGCTATTAGAATGATGAATTGAGAGGAGCAAACTAAAGCATTGGAATCCAGATGCATTCCAGATTGCCCCTGACCCTTCAATCTCCAATGGTATAGACTGCTGCTAGTTTTCTGTAGGAACATTATCACTGATAAAGCTGAGTTGACCCCGTAAGCAATTCAGAAGTTAAAAATACATTTATTCTTAATCTAGTGAGCATATTATAGGCAGAGTCAAGCTACAGAGCTGCAGAATGTGGCTTGTGGTGACTGTCAACTTACACCCCTACCATAGCTCTCAGCTGCCCCACACTTGGAGGTACAGTCCCTATTTTTTGACCAAATCACTCTGTCTCTCGTACAGCCTACGTTGTCCTTTCATTTTGGTCTGATGTATAAATTTCTATATTAAACATACTCTTTTACTATCAAAAAGCATTATGTTGCATTAAACTTTTTATCCAACATCTATATTACTACATTTGTTGTTTAAAAAAAAACTATTTCCTAGCACAACCCCTCACTCCCTACATATCATAGCCTTCTCCTTTTCTGGAAGTGTCTATTTACTGTCTTTGCCGGCTCAGCTCCTCCACCCCTCACCTTTCTACATAATATTTTTTTTGTAGTTGAAGATGAATATTATAGAATGTCATTTGATTGACAGCTCTGAGTCTGCTGGGGCTGCTGATATCACATCCAAGATAAAAGCACTTTCATTGTACAAGGGAATAGTGGTTTAATGTGACTTACCCTATAGTCAGGGACATCAGGTCTCTTGTATCTAAGTAAAATTAGTTTCAGTGAGCCTGGTTGTACTGTGGATTTAATTGTCATTGTTTTCTCATCGGTGTGAATCTGAGCCTGAGAAATGCATTTAAAAGTTCTGCTGCCATCTTGTCTCTCCACCACAGCTCCCCCAACACACATTGTAGTCTGGAGCTGGTTAAACAGCACAGAACTATATAAACAGAGGCTGCAGTGCCACTAAGATGCCTTGTGATAAGTCAAACTAACTGTGGTCATATACAGCGGGTATAAAAAAAAGAATCACATTTTGTTGCTTTGCAGCCTGATATGAAGACAGGCACAGTTTTTGTTTTATCCAGCTGTATTTACTCAGTGTAATTTATAACATCCAAGTGAAAGATATAACACCAACATGTCAGAAACAAATATAAAAAATTCAAAAACAGAATCAGTGAGTTGGAGAAAGGATCACCCCCTCCTAAAAATGACAGGTAAACTCAATCAGGTATAGCTAATCACCTTCTCAATGGCACACAAAGCCATTTGACTTCAAATATGTTCAGCTGTGGTCATTGTGATTAGCTCAACATGAAAAGAGCTTTCCTGGAGCATTTCAGTCCTTGTTAGTGCAACTGAAGCAAACAATCAACTATGGATGGCAAGGTACTGTCAAAAGATCTCCGGGATAAAGTTGTGAACAGGCACAAGTCAAGAGATGAATACAAAAAAAAAATTCAAAGGCTTTGTCAATGCCTAGAAGCACAGTGAAATCTATTATTAAGAAGTGAAAGGTATTTGGTACAACACAGACCCTCTCTGGATCAGGACAT